TATTCTTACAAACAGACAAAGGCCCAGGAAAAGGCTGAAGAGCCTCCAAAATGTAAATTGTCTGATTGAAGTTATGAAGCACGTCTTTCTGCCATAAGATGTTCTACAAGAAAGAAGGGCCAACATGGAGAATAGGGTTTTCTCAGACTGGGTCAAAATCGAATGCACATATGTATGTATATGTTTGTTTGTGTGTGTCTCTGAGTGTGGATGCACACATGCGTGCACTACTAAGCTCCTACTCAAAGGGACAAAAGCAGAAGTATTCATCTAAAGGACTTCCAGTTACCATCTGGAAATGTTTGGGAATTACTGATTGCCTTAGTTATCTAGTGCTACTATAACAGAAAAACCACAGGTGGATGGCTTTAACAAATAGAATTTAGTCTCTCACAGTTTAGAAGGATAGAAGTGCGAATTCAGAGTGCCAGCCCTAAAGGAAGGTTTCTCTCCGTGTGTCTCCTGGATCTGCAAGGTTCCCAGGGCAGGGAGGCCAGATCCAAAGATCACACTCAGATTCTGGCTCTTCTTTCTTGGTGGTAATAGGTCCCTTTCTTTCTGTTCCCTTCTCTCTCCTTTTATCTTTTGTAAGATAAAATGTATTGCAGACTACACCCCAGAAAAAGTCCCCTTGTGATAGAATTAAGAGTGTTGCATCCCACCCTAATTCTTTCACAACTGATTGGCTTATCACATCAGATCACTCATGGAGGATCATTCTATAACTGCCACATTATATCATTACATAACTGCCAAAATACTGAAAATCATGGCCCGGCCAACTTGACACATATTTTTGTAGGATACAATTCAATTCATGACACTGACCAAGGACAATAATTGCTCAAATTCTGTTATTTTTGTTTTCTATGAAGATTACTAGTCAATTTCTAAATTGAATTAAAAGAGCCCAAGGGTACAAAGTGGTGAGACTGCACGTTATTGCCTATTGCATTGGCAGACTTGGGGAGGAGAGGGATAGAGCTCAACCAACAGAGCAGTGGTGAGTGCTACTAAAAGAATAAAAGAAAAAGGAATGTTTGGGATCTTCTGCAAGGAAGAATTGCATGGAATCTGGCCTGAGCTTGAAAGGGAGTTTTGTGTTTTTGTTGTTGTTATGTGCCGTTGAGTTGGACCCGACTCATAGCGACCCCTCCTTGGGTTTCCGAGGCAGTATCACTATGGAAGTAGACTGCCCCACCTTCCTTCTGAGTAGCGGCTGGTAGTTTGAACTGCCAGCTTTCTAGTTAGCCATCAAATGCCTTAGCCACTATGCTACCAGAGCTCCTCAGGAAGTTTTAGCCATCAATAAATCTGTGTGATTGCCTGAAAACGCTGCTTCTCCCACCACTTACCTAATCAAGTCAGTTCTGACTCATAGCAACTCTAAAAGACAGAGAAGAACTGCCTCATAGGTTTTTCAACGTTGTGAATCTTTACAGAAGCAGACTGCTACATCTTTCTCCGGCAAAGTGGCTGGAGGGTTTGATCTGCTGAGCTTTCAATTATCAGCCAAGCACCATTGCACCACCAAGTCTCCTTAGTCTTACAGGGTATATAAAACATGAAAATACTTTCAACTTGATCCTACATACATGCTCATGCCGAAAGAAGTCCTTTAGCCCCATTATGCAAATGCTCGCACTGCAGTCAAGTTGGATCCGACTCATAGCCACACTGCCTCAGGTTTCCAAGACAGTATCACTACCAAAATAGATACCCAATGTTCCTTCTGAGGAATGGCTGGTGGGTTTGAACCTCCAGCTTTCTGGTTAGCAGTCAAATGCCTTAGGCACTACACCACCAAAGCTTGATACTTAGGGAATCACCGCCCTCTTCCTTATCTAAAGTCACAGACATAAAGTTACAGTTTTGTATAGGATTTCAGGCAGTCTATGGATGCCTGGTTAAGGTATCTCCATGCCAAAATCTAACTCCAGATGGATCAAAGACTTAAATGTGAAACCTAAAACTATAGAGTTCCTCAAGGAAAAACTAGGGGCAATTTTATAGTGCCTAAAGCACTTGACTACTAACCAGAAGGCTGGCGGTTCAAACCCACCAGCCACTCCTCAGAAGGTAGATGGGGCAATCTATTTCCGTAGCAATACTGCCTTGGAAACCCAAGGAGGGGTCGCTATGAGTCAGGTCCAACTCCATGGCACATAACAACAACAACAACAAAATTTATGGCATAAATGGACTATCAACCATAACCCAAAATGCACAAACAGCAGAAGAGAAACTAGGTAAATGGGACCGTCTAAAATTTAAATTTTTATGTGCTTCCAAAGACATCTCCAAGAGTCAAAAGAGAACCTACAGATTGAGAAAAAATATTCAGCGATGACGTATTTGACAAGGGACTTATCTCTAGAATTTATAGAAAACTCCAACACCTCAACAACCAAAAGACAAATAATCCAATTAAAAATGGGTAGAAGATATGAATAGACACTTCACCAAAGAGGACATTCAGGCAGCCAACAAACATATGAAGAAATGCTCATGATCATTAGCCATTAGAAAGATACAAATCAAAGATACTATCTTGCCTAGTAGCAAAGTTCAACAAGACAGAAAATAACAAATCCTGATGAGGATGTGGAGAGATTGAGACTCTCATACACTGCTGGTGGGATTGTAAAATGGTACAACCACTGTGGAAAGCAGTATGGCGATTCCATAAAAAATTGGAATTAGAAATACCATTTGACCTAGCCATTCCATTACTAGGTTTATATCCTAAAATGTGAGAGCCAGGACAAGAACAGATATTTGCACACCCATGTTGATCACAGCACTATTTACAATAGCCAAAAGACGGAAACAACCTAGGTGTCCATCAATTGAAGAATGGATAACCAAACTATGGTACATACATACAATGGAATACTATGCAACCCTAAAGAATAATGTAGAATCTGCAAAACACCACATAACATGGTTGAACTTGGAGGACACTATGCTGAGTGAAATACATCAATCACAGAAGGACAAATATTGTATTAGTCCATTATTATAAAAAGTCAAGGAACAGTTTATATATGGAAGGCAATTTTCTTTGTTGATTACTAGGGGTGGGAGGGAAAGGAAGGGGAACACTGTTAGACAGATAGAGAATGAGTATTGATTTGGGTGAAGAGAAGGGCAAAGTACCAAATGTGAGTGATCAACATGGTGGCACCGAGGAAGAGGAAGATGTTGAGAGGTACATGGGAGGGACAGACAACAAAGTGGAACCCTTTTGTACATACAGTATTGCATTGTCAGTGAAAGCAAACATGGATATAAGGGTGAATAGATGGGTGGACAGGCTGAACTAGTAGGTATGTCTATGCAGAGGGGAGTGTGCCCAAGACCATGTATAGGATTGGCAGACAATGCTTCTACAATTGTATTGGTATGTTCTGTAAGAATTCCCAGGTGTATAATAGAGCTGACAAGGGGCAAGGTTGTTGTCACTCTTTCGTCACAGACAGCTATCCAGAGAGAGCAAGTAGTTGGACCTGTGGGCTCAGGACCATAGTGACAGGGGACATCAAGCTCACTTGGCTCAACATACTACACAAAATATTGTTCCACCTCCTATTTTGGTGAGTAGCAACTGGGATCTTAAAAGCTTGCAAGCAGCCATCTAGATACAACGATGGGTCTCTCCTCATCCAGAACAAAGAACAACAAAGAAAACTAAAGATTTATGGAAACAGTTAGCCCAAGTGACTGGTACACTATGCAATCTTCAGCCTATATGACTATGAGACCAGAAGAACTAGATGGTGCCCAGTTACCACTATCAACCTTTCGGAGGGGGATCTATGTAGAAGATCCTGGATAGAGTAGGAGAACAATGTGGAACAAAACTCAAAATCATTAAAAAAAAAAAAAGGACCAGGTTTGCTGGTCTGATGGAACCTGATGGAACCACTGGGACTATGGCCCTTAGCTGCCCTTAGGTCTGGAATTGAACCCACTCCTGTGGCTTCCAGCCAAACAAAAGACAGGCATATGAGTTGAACATTTACCTGAGGTAGATACACTCCTCGGGGAGAACAATCATGGAAGAATAGAAGGGCTATTTATGCACAGGGAGACAGCTCAGGGGGCAAGATGCATGGAGGGAAGGATACAGGGAAGAGGTTACTATGGGGAAGAAGTGGGAGGGGAGCGGTTGCATTGTGGTAAATTGTAGTCAGTGTCATGAGGCAAAGTGTATGTAAACTGCTGTAAGTATCTCCATGCTTAGGGAGAAGCAGTTGGTTCACAAAACAGACTGTAATGGTTTCAAATTCCCAATATTTACAGGAAGTGGGATCTAATGGATTCCCCAGCATCCATTCAACACTACTCAAACTCCTTTGGGTGCTAGGTATTATCTCCATTGGTATACATTTCATTTTTGGTAGTGGTCTTCAATTTAGATTCAACAATATCATCCAAGTCCAAAAGTGAATGTGCCCATGGCCATACTTAATAAAGAAAATTCCAAACAGATTAGGTAACATTCTTTTCCAGTTTTTCCATGAGATTGTTAATTCCCAAAGAGATCTCTGGGAGACTAACTGTATCTATTGCTAAATTCTTTCATTTCTAAACACTGATGTTTTCTTTTATAAAAACTTTGTTAAACGAATGCTCATTGCTTTCTTTGTGACTATCATATATATTTTGGATCCAACATACATAAAGGACATTTCATCAGCTTTAGTATTTAACAGTGCCTGCAACAATGGGCTCAGGCATGGCAACCATTGTAAGGATGGTGCAGGACTAGGCAGTGCTTTGTTCTATTGTACATAGGGTCGCTATGATTCAAAACCAACTCAGTGGCACTTAATAACAACAATATTTTCTCCCTCAGTAATGGGCATAATATTAGGAGGGCTTCCCAGAATCTCGTGATGGTTAAGGTTATGAGTCACCTTGGTTAGGCCATGATTCTCAATGGTTTGACAGATATGTAACCATCCTCCATTTTGTGATCTGATGTGAGCAGCCAATCAGTTGAAAAGGGAGTTGAAAAGCTTGCTGTCTGACTTCCAGATTTTGGAATTCGCCAGCTCCCACAGCCCTGTGAGCCAGCAGCATGCCATCTGACCTACCAGTTTTGGATTGTCAGCCCCTGAAACCATGTAAGTCAGGAGAAGCCTCCGACCTGATGCCTGACACATGGATTTGGGACTTGACAGTCTCCACAACTGTGTGAGCCATTTCCTTTAAATTTCTCTCTCTGTCTCTGTCTCTCTTTCTCTCTCACTCTCTCTCCCCTTGTTGGGGTTACTATGAGTTGGAATCAACTCAATTGCAATGGATTTATGTTATCAAAGACCCAGTTAATGAGCCAATAGCCTGCTTGGTTTAGTAGGATCATGTTTGTGTCATTATGTCTATATTCCAAATAAGCTATCACCCCAGTCAGTGTTTGTCAATAGTTTTCTTTCAGGTTCCTTTTTCAAGTCTCTTGTTTGAGATAGAGCTATGAACCTAGGTCTAGTTTGCATCTTGAGAAGCAATTTTAGAATTTAACCCCATAGGAGCTGTCTACCTGTTCACCTCTCACTGATTTTACTCTTCCAGAAAACCCAGTCTAAGACACATCTGTGCAATCATTCCCAACTTTATTAGATGTTTCCTCCCTTGTTTTCAAAATGAACAGTAATCCAGTTCTCTTATCATCATCATAGTCCTGCATTTGGTCTCTCTTCCTCACTTTGAATTTCCACCTGAGGCCCTGACCCTTCATCTTTAACAGTAGTAACTGGACCAATCCCCAGCCTTGACCTCTCTGTGGGAATCACAGTGATGTTTCGATCAAGGGAGGAAGATCTGGATGTTAAGTGGTTGAGAAAAGATATTATCCCTAGGGAAAGAGAAAAATTTGAGGTGAGGTTCAGTAGATGGATAATATTTTGGCTTTTAAAATTCTTATTCATCTTCCAATATTCATTCAAAAGACCTCTATGCAGTGAAGCCAATCTTCCTCCCCAGCAAAGTTATATTACCTTCCTATGATCCCACTGCATTATACCAAAAAACCAAACTCACTGCCGTTCAGTGGGCTCCAACTCATAGCAACCCCTCCTCGGTGGTATCACTACAGAGGTAGATCGCCCAATCTTCCTTCTGAGGAGTGGCTGGTGGGTTTGAACTGCCAGCCTTCTAGTTAGCAGTCAAATGTCTTAGCCACTATGCCACCAGAGCTCCCCACTGCATTATAGTGTTTATCACACTGGTTAGGACAAAGCTTGAGCCTCCTAAACACAAATCGTGGTTCCACTATTTTCTGTGTGCTCTCGGGCAATTAACTTAACATGTCCATGCCTCAGTCAGTGATAGAACATGTTAGTAAGTCTAAGTTTTCTGACTCCAGATTCCATGCTTTCTCTAGTGTACCACACTGCCTCCCACTGTGTAAACGTCCTGAAGAAGGGACGTGCCCTCCCTTTCCAGAAGGGATTTCCCTTCTATCCCTCTAGTATAGGGCAGAAGACTGACTCACCAGCAAACATGTATAAGAAGCCACCCCACCAATTAAGATAATAGGTCCATAGTAGATTTGACTCCATGACATCTCTGCTATGCCAATGAACTTGTGTCAGGAACAGGATGAGGCAGAGAAGCAAGCAGGAGGCTAGGAGAAGGAAAGGTGTCAAAACCTGTGAGAGTCTCCAATATGCCTCCACCACCATTCCCAACTCTTCTTCTGCCTCCAGAGACCGTATGTCTGGCAAGAATCAAAAGGAAGATCATTTGGGGATTATCCCAGATGGGAGAGAGAAAGGGGCTTCAGCTATTGTTCTATATAACAAGACAAGGTAGGTTGCTGGAAATTTGGTGTCAGAAAAGGATGAGAAATGTTGTTACCTTGACTATTTTAGCATGGTATTATCCTGTCAGTCTAGTTCTGTACCTGAGGTGAAGCTGAGCATGGATACCTTCAGATCCAAGTTGGTGGTCATGCTTCCACTTCTAGGGAGATAAGCTCTGAAGAGCCAGCTAAGGCCAGTGAGTATGGTGAGGACAGAGATGAGGAAGAAGGCCCTGGAGGATTGGAGGTAGTCTGCCAAGAAGAAGGGGAAAGAAAAGGCTTGGTTAGGCCAATACAGACCTCCTCTTAAGAGAGGCAGACAGTCTTAAGAGAAGGGAGTGAAGACAAAGGAGGATTGCTGTGTCGCATCATGGACAAATAAGGATCCTCTTTCCTAGCTCTTCATTGATACCTGGAATTTCTTAAATAGAAAGATATAGCTTTCATTGTTAAGCTAATGATAATATATAAATACTCCTGGGCATATTAACACATTAACTTAGTTGTAAGCTAACTTATAAGAAGTATAACCTTAACATCACAAGACAATCACAAGACAAATAAAAAACTTTTTCTTATTTCTAGTTCAATTTAAAAAGTAATGCATATTCAATATAAGCATTGGAAAAACTACTAAAGTGCTAAGAAGCAAGAAGTGAATCAGCCACTGCCCCCACTACCCAGAAACAACCATTATTGGCATTGTATTTGATTTCTTTCTAATATTTTTCTATTCTCTGTACATAGTACTTACCACACTGACTATGGTGTGATTTTCTTAAAAGATCATATGATAAGGATGGTGCCAGACTACCATTACCGAACATTTTGATCGAGGACACTATAGAGAGATCCTGATCAAAAGGAGGAAAAATTTGGAACAGAGTTTCACTTTCTTATGAAAACCTGACTTACTGTACCAGGACTGGGTACAGAATGAGGGAATCCCTGAATCTATTGCCCTGAAATAATCATTAAACCTTGAACCAAAATTAACCTTCAAAGTCATCTTTAAACTAAATAACAGTTTAGCCCAATTAATCAAGAATATTTGTCTTGAACATTGAGCTCTTTTAAAGAATACCTATATGAGATCAAACTGACAATAAGAACTCTAAACCATAAATGAAAAGTGAGTCTAAGCTAATGGTGAAACAATAAAAGTAGAGATGGTGAGCATGATACATAATTTGAAGATTATAACCAAAGTCATTGAACTATACATGTATAAATGGCTGAATGAGTATAGGTTTTGTTGTGAATGTTTTCATATAAAATATTTTTAAAAAATTATTTCACATCTATGATTACTCGTACAACATAGTCATAACTAATCCCTCATAAACATGACCAAATATATTGCTGTTCCCTTCCTCCTAGAGCCTAGAGAGGATTTAATTTCCCAATTAAAAATAAATAAATAAAAAGTTTTGAATAAGAAAAAAAAATAATAAGTTTTCTCCCAGATTACTGAACACCTGTTGTAAACACCTTTTTTAACAGCTACAATATTTAATGACTATTATTAATATTAATTAATTAATACAATATTAATATACTTTGCTTAATGGTTTACCCTTTGTTGGATTTGGGGATTTTTTTCTTTTTTTTCCTGTTTCAAGTATATCTGGCATGTATGGACCTTGTTAGCCTGTGACTATAAAACGAAGTCACATTTATTTTAACTCCTATATTAAAATGATTTCAAGCCAAATTGATGGAAGTTAACACCCCAGAGTCCCCCAACATCCTATATCACATCTGTTCAAGAATCCCACCCATTGCCATGTAGATTCCAACTCATAGCAACCTTACAGGACTAAGTAGAAGCTCTGTAGGGTTTCCAAAGCTGTAAATCTCTAAGGAAGCAGACTGCCTCATCTTTCTCCTGTGAAACCAGCTGGTGAGTTCCAACTGCTGACCTTTGACTTAACAGCCAATGGCTTTGTGGCTTAACTGAGCCACAAAGACTCCTCCTGTTCAAGAATGTCATTGTTGTTGCTGTCCTTGGGTTTCTGCGACCGTATCATTACAGGAGTAGATTGCCCAACCTTCCTTCTGAGAAGTGGCTGGTGGGTTTGAACCACCAGCCTTCTGGTTGGCAGTAAAGTGCCTTAGGCACTAGCTACCAGAGCTCCTAGAATAGGTCTGCTGAATTTCTTCTGCTCTAAAGTCCTGACCAAATAAATGCCACTCTCCTTTTTTCCTTCATCTCTTGGCTTTAAATCTCCAATATCGCTAACTCTGCCACTGCAGATGGGATGGTGGTGTGAGAGAAGAAAGGACATTCTAAACTTTACTGTTTGGTACCACATCCTTACTTGAAACAGATCTTTCCCTTGCTTTCTCCAGCCCAAGATATAATTTTAGCTATATTTTAATGAAGATTTAAGAAACAGAAAGTAACCTACAGTTGCAAGTAGATGCAGCTTTTCTTAGATTTAAAAAAAAAGAAGAAAAAACCTAAACCCACTGCCGTAGAGTCACTTCCAACTCACAGTAACACAATAGAACAGAGTAGAACTGCCCTATAGGGTTTCCAAGGCTGTAAATTTTTACTGAAGCAAACTGTCTCATTTTTTTCCCTCTAGATACAACATACCCACGATATCCTTTACAGGGTGTCCCCTTTTCTAGCTTCTTTCCTGTCTCAGTGTGGCAGAAGCTGTAGTCCCCACTGCTGAAAAGTTCTCTTAGTTCCGTGCCTAAGAATCCAAGCCTAACTTCCAGGTAACCTAGGGAAAGAAATGATGTATCAAGCTTATCCTAGTTAAGATGTGTCTCCTAAGTTTTATTTTGTTCTTTAGTACCTGCTACTTATTAACATGATCAGTCATAGTAATCTCCTTAAGAGAAATCATGCCCTCTCATGGATTCCAGACTTTCTGGAGCCATGGAGGCTGGATGAACAGCTGGAAACTACTGCCCTGAGATAGTCTTTAAGCCTTAAACCAAAAAATATCCCTTGAAGTCTTCTTAAAACCAAACAATAGTTTAGCTTAACTAGTGAAAAAAGGTCTGCCTTGAGCATTATTATACTCTTCTAAATCTATATGGGATCAAATCGACAAAAACAACTTGAAAAATTAGATAGGAACCTTAGAGGCTGGTGAGTTTATGTTAATGAGGGAGGAACAACTCAGAAAAAGGAGGATTAAAATGGCTGCACAACTCGAAGCATGTAATCAATGTCACTGAATTATACATGTAGAAACTGCAGAATTGGTATATATTTTGCTGTGTATATTCTCAATAACAACAATAACTAAATAAAATTTAAAGAAAAAAAAAGGGAAACCACATTCATAACCAGAGATGAATTGCTCTGTGCTCCCAACAGGTTAGTTAGCAACATCAAAACATGAAAATGTAAAAGCATCACATTTTTCAAAGACTGGGTCATTCAGAACTAACAGAATGTGTAGCCAGTCAGAACCATCACTCAATACTGAGCTGCATGAAGCCCAGTGTGATAGGCATCTTTTATGGTCTTTAGCCCATACTGCCCACAGCATTTAATAACGCTTGTTTATAGGCCTATAGTTTTTTGGCTATAGCTAATTATACCAAGCAAGAGTACCTGACCCAAGTTTGTTGTTGTTGTTATGTGCCGTCGAGTCAAACCCGACTCATAGCGACCCCCCCTTGGGTTTCCGAGCCAGTATCACTACAGAAGTAGGATTGCCCAACCTTCCTTCCGAGGAGTGGCTGGTGGGTTTGAACCGCCAGCCTTCCCATTAGCAGTCAAGTGCTTTAGCCACTATGCCCCAAGTTAGATCAATTTAATTATTAAGCTTAGAAATTGATGTTAACTTTCTCTTTTGCTTGCTTGAACCAGAAGGATACAAAGCTGGGCTTGGATGTCACTTTTCAAGCACGTACACAGTAACAAAAATGAAAAATGAGCTATAGAGAGAAAACAAAGCACTTAGAAAAAAAAAAAGATGAGTGACAAAGCAACTCTAAAGAAACTGAGCGGCTAACTAGTTTGATTTCTGAAGGCTCTTCCCTTCTGAGGTGTCAGCCTCCCCTGAGGCCCAGCCAACTTATTGCCCTTGAAAGTCTATCAGATTCTCCTGAATCTTTGTAAGTTCACTATTTAGTTTACACTTGACTGTGTCAAAGGTTTTGTCTTAGGCTGGGATCTCTAGAGGAGCAAAACCAGTGAAATATATATATATATATATGAAAAACATGTAAGTAGTAGTCATATATATACGTTGTTGTTGTTGTTGTTATGTGCCGTCGAGTCGGCCCCGACTCATAGCGACCCCTCCTTGGGTTTCCGAGGCAGTATCACTACGGAAGTGGGATT